AATTTCTGCACGTAGCTGTCTTCTTCCAATCATCGCTCTTGCCTTTCTTATTGTCGGATCTCTTTGTCGACTTAGGCGCACGATGCCCGAGCCTGACGATCCTTGCAAACCCTTCACAGGAGCTCTTGGGGGTCTTCCCGAGTAGTGCGCAAACTCAACATTCGACGCAATCTCAATGGCATCTTGTAGTGTCGAAGGACTCTCTTTCATGATTTTCCATGCTGTCTCTTCTTTTAAACCGTTCTGAAAGAAGAAACGCTTCTCCACCTCGCTGATAGACAACTCAGTCTGTGATAGCAAGTCTTGAAGCTTGGAGACGTAATCATGGATGGTCTCATTCTGCCTGAGACGAAACATCCTTTCACGAAAATCGTATTCGAAGTACTTCGGTCTGAAACGAGTGCGAAGTCTTCCCTTGAAGATCGACCATGTGGGCTGTACGTTTGTACCCTCACACTCAGCGATGAAACTGATTTGCCCAAGTTGCTGGAGATCATCGTCACAAAATCGGACGATTCTGCCTCCATCAACTCGCGTCTGCTTGCGTAGTACTGCTCGGTGACGAAGATCCATAAATCAATATCTTTGCCATATTTGTCTTCATACATAGGCGGATCCTTCTTCTTCTGTTCACCCCTGGACGCAACTAAATATTCGAATCTCGCATTGGCTTGTTGCATTTGGGCTTGCATTTGCGCTTGCATCTGAGCTTGATACTGCTGTTGCTGCTGTTTTAGGTATACTAGCAGTTGCTGCATGAACATGGTTTCAGGTCCAGCCGCTTCTTGAGCAGCATCCGTAGCAGAGGGGGCTGACTCAGCCTGTGTATTAGCACTGTCCCTTTCACTTGACGCTTGCGATCTTGTTCTTGTTCGCATCGTAGGCTGGGTATCTTCAATGTCGCTCGGAGCTCTGACACGGCTTTGTTGACGAGGACGAGGGTTCGGTGACGGGCGCTCAGCTGCACGACTTCTTCTTTGAGCCATTACAAACTGTACTTCACAGCGCAAGTCTCTAAAGATACCAGAACTCGAAACCGAAGTTAAACGAAGCGAAAATAGTTTCTATTAAAGTTCTTTCCTACAATCTACGGTTTTTGTCTACGTGGATTGAGTGATCGAAGGATCCTTCAAGAATTTCTTGGGTTTGCTCAATACGCTTTTTGGGCAATTCGCTGAAGTCGTGGATGACGTTTTGGGCGGCTGCGTCCTTAGAATCCGGGATTTCGTTTTGGATCAGGCGGACGAGCTTAGGTTGCTTGACCGTTGTTAACCACAAGTCTAGACGAAGCTGATCAAGCTGTTTGTGTCGATCAGTCAATGACTCTGTGTTGTTTACAAACGGATCTTCGGAGCGATTCTTTCGCTTGCCCGTAAACAAGCACACTGAAACAGATCAGGAGCAACGGATGTAGATCAAGCACAACCAAGTGAGTATCTAATCGGACGTTCGCTCCGTGATTTCTGAAGCGGGACAAGGATCCACGTAAAACATGAAAGTGTTAAACCGCAGGCCAACAGAAGAAGTACCGATTGTGTGTACCATACTAGTGCGCAACCACACCAACTATCCACTGAACGTAACAGTTCGTGCTGAGGCAATACCCTTTGCGATCTAGTACTTCCCCGACTATGCGGCTAGATCCAATAACCACAGGAAACTCGCATCTGGCTATGCCACCACGAGTGCCCTACTTGAACTGAAGCTTGACGCGATGAGTGTTACTATGTCACACAGTAACGTGGGGAGACGTTGAGTAGAAGACCGTGCCGAGATGTGGCCGGCGAAGCGAAGAACCAAGGCGTGGCCAGTTGATCGACCACTGAGGGTTGTTTGGTAAATTGAAAAGAAAATTGAAAAGAGGAGGGCTCTTACGGCTACCTGGAACCTACAAGTGGCTCACAGTGCTCTCCTAAGAATCCAGTAGAGTGTATCCTAGAACCTATTGTTTCCTATCTTCTGATTTGGCTATCTACTAATGATTTTCTTATAAACGTCCACGTAGCAATGTCGACTTGATTCTCTGGCGTCCGTAATCAAGCTTCGAGAACATTCTCGATTTTCAGCCAATAAGACCTTCTCAATGTCTCAGTGTGACGGCGTAAACAAAGTTAGCAAATTTCTAGAATTTAATTTTACTCAATCACATTGTGGACACATG